GATAAACGTCTAAACGTCATTGTTAGTGTCTTCAGGGCCCCGGGGGAAACCTGCTAGAGAATGAAAGACGATAGCTTACCTGCGTGTGTGATGTCCTTGGTCATGCGCACTGCCTTACTGACCATGACAGGTGTCCAGTATGATTCATTGACCGGCAGAGTCACACCATCTAAGCCAAGAAGCCATCCGGCCAAGAAGGGACAGAGAACGTTACCATACAAGGCCAAGGATTTGTCATGGAGGAGAGTTGAAAGAAAAGGTCCTAGCAAACACGTAACTGTTAAGTTATCATATAATTTATAGTAAGAACTAATGGATAGGGAACTTCAACAAAAGAATTTGCAATGGCACTCCCGATGAAAATGACGTGCAGCAAACCATATCAATGCCCCTAATCCCCAAGTGGAAGACTTTTTCTTACCTTAAACAAAACCTACAAGCATGTTTGTTAAATGAGTACTAATGCCTAGTGGGTACTTTCCACTTCAAATCTGTCTCACACTGATGACATCTGTGAAAAGCACTCACGGTAAAAGACTGGAGGTCACTTGGGTGAAGGAAGACGGAAAGTTCTATGTCAATAAACTAGCTGTTACCTAGCGTTCTGTTAAATGTGTATCAACCAATGGAAAACCTCATAAGCCCCACCCACCTGAGTTGTAGGGGGCAGCAAAGACATAATTGTTGGTGTATAGTGCCCTGTGGTAATAAGGCTGATCCCAAGGATCCTGGAAAGCTGCAATCTCTTCCTCTGTCCACTCTTCTGGGATGCTGAGGAGATGGGAGACATGTATGGCTATTATTGATGAGTCACTCAAGGATTTGTTAAAATCTTTATGAAATCTTCTGGTGTCATCCCGGCAGAGCAGGACTTTTGCAGACACTTCAAGATCTTAAATTATCTCTGAACGGACTGGGGCAAAATTCAAAATACACTTTTAGTTGTGCCAAGCGTTCGTGAGTTTGTCAACTGCTGTTTTGTCTGATCTCCAAATGGCTCCAAGTTGTGACATCAATGTAGTGGACAATTAAGGTTAATTTTCAGTGCAGGTTGCTGATAAAGTTTGTCTGACAAAAAAGTATGAGAAAAAAATTCATTTGTGAGTACTAAGGGGGAAGTCAAATGAGTGTGGTTACAAAACACTTTGCCTGCCTTTGACTGAAACCTTGTAGATGTACAATACTTCCCTTCCTAAAAAACTGTCAATGAACGCACAGACGCTGTTGTCTATGTAAATAAGCGTTTCAAGTCACAAGAAGGAAGTATTCTCCATTGACAGTTTATTAATTCTGTATATTCACCTCCGAGTGGCTATGACTAGAGATCATCAAATGATGCCCTGCACCCGACATTATTATAAAAACTGGCACGCTGTGGAAGGCAGTCACTTTGGTCAGGGTGATAAGATACAGTACTGTAAGTATTGGTGAAGTTGGCGTGTTGCAATAGTTACCTGCTTGGGTAGATTCTGGTCAAGCCACCGTGTGTTGCTATCGCATTGAATATGACTCCCTTGCTGAGGATTAAGCACATCAACAAAAACGCCATTCATTTGTTTTTCTTTTCCATTTCTCCAAACCAGATTAGGATGTGTCCGGGCAAAATCCAACATGGCTGAACTCAGACCCTGCTTATGCAAGAAGCTGCAACAGTGTATTTTGCAGTGCACTGACAGGCACAAGCTTCATCACCGTGGAGTTGCACAGTGCTGAGAGGTGCACGTACAGTACATGTACATGCGACAATACATGGCAACCTTTGATCACCCTTGCTTTATGTTGCATTTGACAGGGTCAGGTTGAAAAAAAAAAATTGTTTTTATGTTTTCCTTTTCAGGGATGAACCAAATTGATCAGAAGACACAAATAAGCCACCAAGCTTTCAACAGCCTAAAGAAAAAGAAACCATCACTCTCACCCTCTCTCTTGAAGAATGGATACTTCCTTAAATGTTGGCATCATTCCTGTGGTTGCATGCCAATACTTGGAATATTTGGTGAATTTCAATGCCGTTAATTTAAGAGCAGAACAGAGTGACACTACAGAGAACATAGTTCAAAGAATAGATTGAAGTTGGTGTCTTTTCTTACAAGTTCTCAGAATTGCTTTCCTGTGCATTCTTCCAGTACTCAACAACCTGTTTGGTGACATTGGCATCAACCAGAAGCTTGCGTACCATGGTGTTGTCACCTGCAATGCCACAACAGATGTAGAACATGGAACAGGTCAATCGGGTTTCCTGAAAAATCACTACTGGTGAAAATGGGGAAAATTCACTGAATTTTAAAGTGAAACAGGAAAGTAAAATCACTGTCCACATCTCGACACTGGAGCTTGATTGTTAACAGTGTTGGCTGAATCCAAGCTGGAAGCAAATAGTGTTTCTTCAAATCTCGAAACTGGAACAGTGACCTTGCCCAATCCACCCCTTCAAGGGATTACTTCCCCTCAGGGATCCATTCCACTCCCCAGAGATTTGATTCAACAGAAGCAACTCTTTGATCTTCCTACTCAAATGACCCAGCAACACTTGAAAGAAACAACAAGGCAGTGATACAAGCCTTCCAGAAACCAAAGGCGACCTATCCAAGAGGAGTGAGCAAAATGGAATTTTTTTTCTTTGTCCCTTAACAGGCGCCAGATTTCCGTGACTCCAAGCAGTGAATTTTAACAGTATCTTACTGAGCTGATCCTTCACACAGGTCATTCTTTTGAAAAACTAGTGAAAACTGGAGTTGATATTGGTTAGGATTGCAACTGACAGAACAGGAACTTCTTCCAAAACTAGTATACTTCCTATATGTTCATGACTGAGAGCTGAATTCTCCCTGGTTCCTTCACCATCACCTACAAGTCTCTACATGTGCTTTTGCTGTTTACCAGGTGCAAATGCAAAGATATAGGCACAAGTTCAATCTAGAAAGTACGGTAAGCTATACCACACGTGTGCTTGAAGAGTTACCCAGCTGACGTATGCACCTGCAAGCATCGCCCGAGCTATAAATGAAAAGATGGCTGCACACAGACACACTGATTTGCCGCTTAGCCGATACTGGATATATATGGATATGTATGAGGTACAGTAAAAGCAGCAGAACTCAGCTTCCCCTCGAGAATTACTTTTGTCAACTTCCAATGACGAGCACAGCTAACACTGACTATTCACTCTCAGACCATGTTAATATATGTGACCCCGCTCTGGGAAAAAAAGGGTATTAAGTCGCACGATGCCAAAACATGTAATGGCCTATTCTATTTGGGGAGGGCAAAGTTTCTCCAAAATTGTGATTTTTGTGTTTTTTCCTTCAATAGCTTCCATAATATTTATATTTCAAAATTTGTGACTTAAGCATGGAAACTGATTAAAGAGGAAAAATCGATCATTCAGTCAGAAATCCTATAGAGCATTGTTTCAAAGCGCTACACTTCATGATCTTTTTCTAGAAAAGTGCTTTTATTAATTCCGAAAATGTGGATATACAAATGTCTACAGATCCCCGGAATGCAGCGCACTGCAGGGGTCATTCATATATCAAATTGTAGCTTTTGATGTACAGAATCCAACCACATCAAAAACTCCGACCTGAATCTAGTGAATTATTACCCATTTTGCTAGAGCTGGTCACATATTTGTGCACCGAAAAAGAAAGCACTTGTGAGGATAGCGTCTCCTTGCTATGCGTTGCGTTCCAAGTGACTTACATTGTTCAAGAAAGTTGTCATTGTTTGCCAGGTCTTTGATGGCCTCCTGTATGGACTTGGTGATGTTGTATGTGGCGAGCATCCCTTCTTGCCCGATGTGATCGCCACAAAACACCCTGTTGGCCGATCGGACAAAAATAGGATCATTGTTTGAGGTAATTCCTTCCATAACTTTGGCCAGCAAGTATTGTTAATAAAGATTGAAGTTTTTTTAGGCCAAAGATGATCCAGGGTCAGGGGCCAGTTCAATTTTGAGCAAATTGGTGATTTTAAACCCCTATCCTTTTCTTGGGATTTCTTTTCCTTTCTCTTTTTCTTCATAGTTAAAATTTGTGTTTTGTTTTGTAATGGATGGGCAAGTTCTCCTCTTCCGTATCCACATCCAGGTACAAACTGGTCAAAGTCTGGCAGTGTTGCCAAACTTTAGACCCAACAGTGTAAAAGGCCCCTCAGAATTCTGTATATAGCGAGTTCCATCAATATGAATTAACCTGCCGTTTGACGAGGGAATTGATTACATTGGTTCACCATGGGACCAAAACTATATTAGCTTGTTTAGTTACTGGTTACCAACTCACCAGTCCACGTGAACCAAGACGTACATGTACAGCTGGAGAGGTTTGGAACCAAATCTGACTGTGGTTTGAAATCTGTGCTCAAAGGGTGCCTCTGGGTTCATGCCCGACTCTTCGCAGCCCTCTCAGGCCAAAAAGTGTAAAGCTCTTAAAGGTGGGGGCACTATCAGCATGTTTGGCGACAATTAGGTTGATGGCAGGGCACTTACCATGGTGCAATCAGCAAAGACCTGTCATCCCGCTTGATGTTAATGGCCTCAAATTCTGTGGGAAAATGGAAAGATGTCAAGAGCTACTGCCAGTATTTACATGCGTACAGTGCATTCTGAGAGGACTCGTCTTCGCTCCTTGTCCATGACAAGGGAGTCAGGTTGGCATGGTGGTTCTTTCCTCGTCTTCCACATCTGCAGTCCGGGTTTGATTCCCTGCTCGGTCCACATGTGGATTTGGTTTTCAGTCCCTACCTGATTCCTCTGGGGTTTTGCCCAGAATATTCCTCTAGGGTTTTCCTCCCACCTCCAAAACCCTAACAACTTCTCACTGTCTCCTCTCCACAAGTTTCTCCAGGCTTTCAAGCTACAGTGCCTTGGGCTTTTTTGAGAAATCCTTGGTGTCATTACCAGAAATGATTAATAAAAATAATGATGTCAGTGCAACGTTAGAATACCCATAAAACAGGGAATATGTGCTGGCTGGGAACAAACATAAAAACCCAGGCGTCAGAGTTATTCTGTGAAGAACCGGCTGGCTCAAGGTTAACTCCAGGGGATGGTGTGTGGGAGAGGACCTTGGGAAGGATCTCTGTGGTCCGTGGAGGGCGTAGTCTCACTTCATTTTTGCACTACATCTGGGGAATGGACACTGCAAGAGTGACCCACAGGCAAGGCTTCATAAAAGTTCTATAGGAACCACGCCGGGAACTTACTTTTGAGTCTTACAAGAGAAAAGTAAACTTCAATTGTTTCTCAAAGGCAGAGGGGGATGGATCTGTGTCAAAGATCTCGCTTACCTACTCCGAGGTCAAAATCGTTAGATACACCCCATTCCCACAGGCCAAAGTTCGGCTGTGCTATGGCAACACTGCACCAGAGAGATAGAACACAAAAGATGGTGATGATGGCGACCATGGCAATTTTCCCATATCACCAAACAGAAACAATCAATTACCATTTCTCTCCCAAGAACAAAGAATTCATCCCCAATCCATCCTGTTGACGTCGTCAAAAAAGACTGAGAGCATTCCAGACTCTAAAACTTTCTCTATCTTTTAAAAAATTTGAATCTTAAGTCTCCATGGCTCTTCAAGATGCAAGGATTTAGCAGGATTTGGTGAAAGTACAGCCAGGTTTAGTTCCGTAGTTCACACAAGATTTGATGTTGTTTGGGTTCTGCATAGGTGGTGTCCAAGTTTCTTGGCTGTAGGTTGAAATAAAATACAACTCAATGGCAAGTGGCTACCACCACTACCATAGATTTGTGCGTGAATTCAAGCCCTAGCCAAGAAATTCGGATATGGACTTGGTCAAAAATGCCTCAAAGAGTCAAGATCTATGGCACATCGGAGGTCAAAAAAGAAATCTGCTTATAAAGGAAAGGCTGCTTACCTAAATGTGGTGTTCTCGATGAAAGTGTAAGAGTAGGTCATGTTCACAAACTCCAGGTATCTCTGTAGGAATTACATTGATACTGAGACAAAACTCCATTTAAAATGGTGCAAGTCATGCCACAATCTTAAGCTACCAGCACAAAATACTAGACAATTTTTACCCAGAAATTTCCTTTACTCACAATCCTGATTTCCTGCCTAAGACTTTTTTTTCAAAAGCTGAGGGAAAGACACTATTGGATTATTGAATCACATGACCAAGGCAATACTTACCTCATCTCTGGACATAATGGGGGTGTACATAGTGGTTTGTCCAGTCTTCTGATCAATCATGTTAATCCGTAGCTTTACAAGAAGAGAAAGACAGACAGGACAAAATGTTGAGACATGCTTGGAAAGATCATTCATTTGGTCCAGAAACTGTCCAATGGGTGTAGATTGAGTAACAGCTGGACTGCTGTTAATAACAGTGCGCAGAAGCGCTGCATCCGCAGGTAATTTAATAAAATGAAATTCTTTGTTTGTTTGCGTTTTGAATCATTCCATCTTATCCTGTGCAACGGTACAAGTCCGGGAAAAGAAAACCTTCAGGTAAATAGAACAATTTAAATGAATAATTTCATCCAAGTTTGGAATTACACAGAATTAACAGTACAAGATCAAAGAAAGAAACCAAAGCAAATTGCCTGTCTTCTTTTGGACAAATTGGGAATCCACCTCCTCATCTATTGTAGATACCCATATCTACTCAAGGCTAGAGGGAAGCATTTAGGGTGAAGTAGGGCTGAGTCAATACAAATAATTCATTATTGAAATATTCAACCTTCAATTTGATCGAATATCCGAATATTTGGTCGGATCGACTGATACAAATCAGTTGCAATTACCCACACAACTGTACCTGTACATTATAACCACAATAATAGCTTCTCATGTCTAGGAGTATCTACAGCCACAATTTAGCAAGATTTAAGAGTTGAACAATCCTTTTTGTCCTTTTAACATTTTTTAATGAATAATTAACTTTTTGAATCGAAAGATTACTGTCACTTTTCATTTGAATCTTCTTGAAACAAACCTCCTAAGTGCAATTTTTCTCATTTAAAACAAAATAAAATTCTCCCTTCGTTTTCATAAATGTTGCATTAGAACATCCAAATTTGGAAAATACTATTCTAGTATTTGATACACGATCAAATATTCAGATATCCGGCACAGCCCTAGGGTCAAGTGCGTGGCCCAAGGACACAGTCGCAAATCATTACCATAAAAGGTCCACAATGCCACCCCAAACCTGGTCCCGACTCCGGTGGTAGTGAAACAAACTCACCTCAGTTTTTTCAGGGATTTCATACTCCACTTCCAAGAAATCAACATTGGGTGGTTCAGTCAAATACCCCAACTGGAAATGAAATATCATTGATAGGGAAAGAAAATCTTCATCATCACAATACAGAGTTACATTATGTTATGACCGCCCAATTGATGTCAAATGTTATTATCAATGGCACTGCAATAAAATATTTTCAAATACACTCCTGGAAAAACCGAAAGGGAAGTTTATCAATGCCATGCAGTAAAATTGACAAAATGGTTGCAAATTAAAAAACAAATGCTGCAGGTTAAGTCCTAATTTACAAAGAGAATAAATCAATTTTATTCAAAAGTTTGTGTGTCCATTTATCCACATGTGGATGTGTGGATGGTATTATTTTTGGCTGATAAGTTTGACCTTTAAAAAAGTAAGATATAGAGGCCCACTTTTGACATACAGCCAAATGCCACGATTGCTGATTCGGAAGAGTCACTTGAAACATATTTGTATAATGTTTCTCACTGCAACCTCATACATGCATTCACCAACACTCCAGGGTGTGCCCATGGAGCGATACTTGCTTCCACAACAGCCAGTGCGTGGCATCCGAGTTTGACATGAGGCTCTGCCTCTTATGGGGCACGAATGTGACGAAACGTGGCGAGCCACAGCATGCCTGATGTTTCATCCCATCAGGTGTCCCTGTGTATGCAGATAGCCACACAGTGTTTCCACAACTTCTGGTACAGAGCGGTTGTACATTTACAAATGTACTTCGGTCTCAAGCACTGCTTGTTCAGCATTGATTAATTTAGCTGCAGATTCAATATATCAAACTCTCTCAAGAGTTGCCCCATGCAGTTTGCAGTGTATCAATCACTAATCTCCACCATTACAGGGATCACTCTGGAACAATCCTCCAAGGATATACCATTTCACAACCTTGGTGGAGGGGGGACGGGAATTTCTTTCATTTTGCTCATTCAGACCCTTGGTCAGTGCCAAGAGGGGCATGATCGGTAGAGAAATATGCATGCCTTGCACGGACCAACCCCAGAGACATTTCAATGGACGTTCCTGATGGCCCCCTGTTATGGTGGACAGCAAGATGTTTGGCTTTAAATGAAGCAACTGTAACAGAACAGAGGTTCTGTACAATAATGGTCACACAACCTTCTGCCATTGGCAAGGGGTACCATTGCAAATGACCAGCAACAACATTTCACAAAATTTGTCTATTCAAGGAATTCACTTCAAATATGACCCACGTGAGTACCACCCTTGGTAATCTTCTGTCAACATGTTCACATGTCATCTATAGGTGTTCTATGCTGTGCACCATTGCAAGAATCATTTCAATGGTTCCATAACAACTTGTACAGATGGAAAACATTGTGCGCGTGAGCCAAATAGGCCACAAAATACAGCAATGCGATTTTCATTAGAAAAAGGACACACAATACAGTTCTATGCCAATTCATGATCCCAATAGTATTATTAAAAAATCTGATGTCACATCAGCACGAACATGTGCACAGCGCAAGTGCTGGGGTACGGCTGCACTAATAGGGACGCTCTCGTATTGGTATACTGATTGTATCCAAGCACTTTAAATGTGCTTCATTTCTGCTAGCAACATTAAAATCACTGAAGTGGTTCATGATACATGTAGGGAATTTCTAACATTTAGGAGAGAAAATATGACAAACTCCCAAACAAAATATTTAAAAAGTGCATCAGTTATTTGCAGCAAATCAATGGCATGTTCAGAAATAACTGTGTGGAAGACAGTTCACACTGTGGGGTGGAAAGGGAATTTGCAAAAGGAGAACACGTTTAAGGAAAGGACACATCACATTCATAAATGTAGGTCTTTATTACACTACAGCCATCTTGGTCCGGTAACCACGAGCACTGCAGTATTGAACCTATGGCTCTTAAATACTGGAGCCAATGACGTTTTTCACAGCTGTGTTTTGCACAAGGAGCAGCTAACCCGGCTGCAGTGTAATAAAGGTTTGCTGGCAAACTAGGAGGGAGTCAAGAATGGAATGGTTGAGGGATAGTTGATGGTTTACTCATTGGTGGCGGAAAGATTTTTCAAAGGGGGTGAGGGCATTTATGTGACCATCGGGCATCAGCCATTACAGGATCTGCCAAAAGTGGAGGGCCAGTAGCCCAACGTCAAAAAAAGGTGGGGGGGAGGGGAAGGCAGTGCCCCCCTACTTCCGCCACCAATGGGTGCACTGCTGGGGGGAAGGGAGGGGAGGAAAGAGTTTAGGACAAAGTTTCAAGGGAAAATTACGAACTACATTCGACAGTGTGGTTTGAAGGTTGCTGGGGAACCTTGGGAGGTGCTTGTTGGGGTCTGGGATGGGTGCATAAGAGGGAGAAGGAAATGAAGGCTACACTTTCCACTGGATGTGGGAAGCAGAGCTAGAGACATAGGCACTTGGGAGGATGACCGGGGTCTAACTGGATATACAACAAAGGGAAACGAAATGGGAGGTACGGTAAATATGGGGGGGAATGTCAAATAACAAGTCATTACTCAATCTTGACAAGAAACAGATCACTGTACTAATAATAGTAATCACATACCAAACTGCTCTGGGGTGCTGTTAGTAAATTACCCACAATGCTCTCCTCATGCATATGCCGAGCAGCCAGGACTGGACTGATACCTAGAAACTGACTCAGTGTTCATCTACTTCTCTTTCTCATCATGTTTACTGGCACAAACTACCATGTGGGAGGTGTTATGAAAATGTCACATAGCCAGAGAGCCACAAACTGAACAGATATAAATGCGGCTGTGACATGATCAAAAATAATAACTAAAACAAACATTGACATCTGGGAGTCATACGGGTCACTGGCAGACAGACTAAACGGGTGATGTACTCTACAATGCTGGTCTAGAACCACACCTTCCACAAGAAGAGTATATGAAGTGTGCATGTACGAGGGGATAAAAACACAGGGGGGGGGGAACGGTGTAAAGGAAAGTGTTTCAAAAAGGAGGGGGGGATAACGAATTCCAAAACGAAACCTGAATATATGGTTACTCTTTGTGAAGAGGAAATCTTAGAGAGATGAAAGGTAAGACAGAACAAAAACGTACGTAAAACCATGCTCAAGTTTTTAACAAAATTCGTAATAAAAAAAAGCTGGATATTTTACCACATAGCCACTTTTTCACTTTTCACGATCGGTTTAGAGTTGCAGATACTCGTACAAGAGGTTTAGAATTCCTCACCCATATTCTCCTTTGAAAGCAAAAATTTTCAGAATCTGCTGGCACTACTAGTGCCATGATAATCTGTTGTTTAACAGTCTGGGTGCAAATTAACCCTGACCTCTTATTGGCACAGAACATGATTAAAAAAAAAAAAGGCTAAAAGGACCGAGACTGGGAACAGATGTTTACAATAGGGATTCAGGAAGAATGGGAACCAAGGGAACAAGAACTGATTTGGGATGGAACAATCAGGACACTGCACAGGATTTGCGACACGGTGGCCATATGATATGACACAAATGCAAAGCGTGCACATAACTCACATTCAAACGAACCAAATAACATGTCTTTCATTTTCACCAGCGTTAATACACAACATTACAGCAAGGTGAGGGGGCTGTTGATGTTTAAAATATGTGCTACGAAATTTGACTATCTAACAAGGGCTAACGATTTGTCTTACAAGTACAGCATAAACAGGTCTTGGACCTTTGCTATTACCAGGCTTCAAATAGCACATATTTATTTTTGTTCCTTAGCCTAATGGTTTCAGAACAGTAGCAAACGATTAAACTCTTCAAACAATATCCAGTTCTTCAGGGTGCAGGAACTATTTATCTGTCATTTTCTCAATCAGTGGCATGACATTACCTTTTATTATTACAGCAGACAATGCACTCATGTGGATGAGGACAGTGTCATCAATCAAGCTGATATCACTGTCATGCATGGCACACAAGAATGGAAAAGTGGACTTGTTCTAGAGACCTCCAAATTGTAGTCCTTATAAATGGAGCGTTCGTCTGCATTTCACTTTTCGCTGAAGCCACTGCTTTTAAAAACATTTGTTAAGACAAATCTGCCCAAAATTCTTTTGTGCTACAGAGCAGAGGGCTAAAAGTGGACACCAGATCTTGATTTTGCTAATTTTTTTTTTCAGTTGATAATTTAGTTTTCAAAGTGCGAATGTATTTCTAAAGCTTTTCTAACTTGTCACTTGTATCAAAATTGACTATAACAGCCCCTGTTCCTTGATGATTTCAAAGACGAAATGCACAACATCGGATACAAAGACAAACTAGGTGCAAACAACAAATGACAGACACATGCAGAATGCGAAGGGGGACGTGGACTTTATCCCCTATGCCATGCTGGGCAGGCACTCAAAGGACTGATGAGGCTAGTCTAGTTGTGCTCCAATGCAAATTACAAATGAGGTGCTGTAAGAGACATTTCGACCTTGAGGGCTCGAGAGCCCCATGCAAAAGTGTGGAATCTGGAGTTTGAAAGAAAAAACTCAACCAAGGGTAAAAAAAAGACCTGTGTCAGTCTTCATGCTGATAGAAATAGATCAGGTGTGGCAAATTGAAAATTATAGCAACCAAACAGCAAGAAAATCTCTCACCAAAAGAAAAAAAACCATCATAATCACTGCCAGAAATCAATCAGAAATTAATGATGAAAATGAGTGAATGAATGCATGAATGGATGAATGAAAACCGTGGAATAGATTGGAATTGTTTGAGTATACCTCCAGTATAGCCTCAATCTCCTCCTATATCAAAGAGTAATGAGAAGAAATGACACCAAAAGGTCACATATGACACCAAGTAAAATGAAACCTGATTGGTGCATGAGGTTAGTTACACCATACATATTCATAGCCTTGGGCAATGACAGATAGGAGAGAATCCAATTGGTGCAGGTGGTTAGTTACATCATCCATACTCACACCCTTTGGGTAGTGACCGAAACAGATGAAATCGTTTGAAAAAGACATGAGGTTAGTTCTTTAGAATGGTCATAGCAATGGGATGATGACAAAGTTAAATGAGTATTAGACCCGAGCATGAGGTCCATTACATCGTGCATATTTACAGCCTTGAGCACTGACTGAAATCTGACTGGACCATCTGGTAAGGCACCAAAAATATTCAAAAGAATGTACCAGCTAGTCTTGATTCTGACTGGTGGAATTGACAAGTCTCTGATTTATCCTCCAAACCCCTTTTTTCATAGGTGTTTTCTAATTTTTTCACTGTTTACTAGTTATAAAACTTTCGTGCACAAATCTTTTCAAAGACTTATAGAATTAGATTATTAGGATTAGATTTATAAGAATTAGAGGATATAATTAATACTTATGATTTATTTGCATAAATCATTCAAGCTTGCTACAAGTGACCTTGGTAAGTAATTGGTAAATTACCAAAAAAAACAAGCTTATGAATTTTTCTTTAGAAAAAAATGAGTTGAGATGACCATGTATTGGGGTAGGATGGGACTGGTGGAGGCTGTGCTCAAATGTGATTTGTCAGTTAAAATGAAGGATACAATGTGGTCGGTGGATCCTGCAATGTGACTGGTGGATGTCAACGCACGATTTGCTTAGTGTTGCACTTAAGTGCATGTGTTGAGTGTTGAACAATGGGTTATAGTAAGTTGACTGATTTTGTTAAGAGTGCTTTGATTGGTGGGCTTTGTTGAGTTCTGTGATTGGTGGGTACAAACCACCTTTGTTGGAGGATTGGAACAAGGAGCTCCAAGCTGTCATTGCTGTGGTAGTTCCACACTAACACACGCATTCTTAAACTTGAAATGTGCATGTCTTTGGGCATGTCACAACACCCAATTTGTTGAAGAGGCCTGTAATAGGTGTGTACGACCTGTGGGTTTTACCAGCTGAGTGAGATTGGTTTGCCCTTGTGCTTGCACCTTTCTATATTTTGAAATGTTATGTTCAGAGTAACTGTTTCCTATTTGATTTTTACAGTAGCTGTTTTCTTGTTCTGTGTAGAATCCCGCCCTAAAGATTTGTTCAAATGACAGGAGTTTTGTTCTGATAAAAGCAGAGAATAAACCGAAGGAAGCACTACTCTACAGGATTCCTACTACTAAACAGGAGTGCAGCAACAGAACCAGTTGTGATTTGTTCAAAGAATGACAAAGTGGTTCAGAAGCAAGAGGGCATTCGTGGGCCCTTCATGAGCTCTACATACGGGTATGCATCAAGACAAGGTATTCACACTGTTGTCTACACCAGGTCATATAACAGCTGCTTCTAAGTAGCCAAAGGTCACTGTGATTCCCACGGCTGAGACAGTGAATGACAGATTCCTCAATAATTTTGTTCTCATAAAAAAGGAAAGGGAAACCCCAACAAGGTTTTCATCATTAATAAACCCGTTAATTGAACCACTGATTCAGGTAAATGTCCAGTCAAAGTGTTTGTGGTTTGTGACATTTATGGTATTTCTGAGAGGAAAAACACCAAAAAAACCACACCTGGTGTCAATTTCACCTCCCCCCCCAAAAAAAGTTCAAAGGTTTGGGACTGATAAATTATTTCCATGGGTGCCAATCTTTAGAAAGTTGTGTGTGAAATCACTGGCATGTGCCGGTAATCTTCCCAAGTTGGTGAGTATGACCTTGAATATACAGTATGACCTGACAATGGCTGGACTTGAGCTTACGGGATTGCACTGAGGAAGTCATTCTTCCAACTGTTGCTGGATTCATGCATGATGAGAGATGGACTGGGTAATTCCATGAGGTTGGGCACGATTTGTGACGGTGTCCATTGTTTCATGGGTTCTGTAAAAATGAACAGCTACTTCCCTGAATGTGGACTCCAAATGATACATCTTAAAGGCTGAATACAGAAGTGTGTGTTATTTTTACAGAGTAAATGACTTACTCTACAGGTCATGACAGGTGGTAAAAGTTACCCACGTAACGAGGACACCGTCACAAATTGTGCCCCAACCTCATGGAATGACCCGACTATAAAAGCATCATGAGAAATGAGTGAATGCAAAGCAATGGGCCACAGAGGAGCAAAACACAGCCCCTCTATGGATAGATACAGATGACAGGGCAGAGCAAGATGTCAAAGACATGAACATGATGCAAGCATGGCGGAAAATGTCAAGAGAAATTTCCCTCTTTTGTAAAATGGTATTTCTGTGAATGCAATCTAAAAAAAAAATTATTCTCAACTTTTGAAATTCTTCTTTTCTGGTTTATGTTCAGGGCACAGGGATAGGCTTTGCTACAGTTTATTGTGACATTTAGGTGAATGTTAGTGCCTAACATGAAGAGGCTGTTTTGCATAACAATGACAGCGATCTAGTGCAGGGATATGATTGGTCAGGCTATGGGCGGTTTTATCACCGTTCAAAGGTAACAGGAATCAGAACAAAACAAAAGTACAGGCATCAGTTATGCAAAGACACAATGCAAGGATATCATGAACATGTATCCTGTTCACCACCACAACATGAAAAAGGTCCAATTGTCACAATTTGCAGATTCAGGAATTAAAAAAAAAAGACAAGTAAACATTTAGAAGTTTTGAATGTGAGAAGTTCTGAAGATTTTGAAGACAACAGAGGGGAAAGAAGATTTTGCAAGGCTCAGGTTGTTTTCGACGATGCCTCAAAATGACGTATACTGCCCTCTGTTGCCAAATCAGAAACAAATGCAAATGAGGGACATGTCAAGGTCATCATCAAGATGCATAACCAATCAAAAAACATGAAATGGTGCACAAGACACTCAAATGTGTTATTTAAAACCTTCACGTTACTGCCCAATTTTACAGCACTACTGGCCAGAAATTCAGAAAACAGTTTGGACAATCCTTAGGAAAAAATCCCAATTTTGGGCTCCTGGAACCAAGACCAGGGAACACTTCTGGGCACAAGGGTTTTTCCTCCTTCAATGACAATCATTGTATGCCTTGTTTACCAACTTATTATTATCAACAAGCTTTGCTTACCAATTAGACATCAGTAAACAAGGGTATCGTAATGATTTACTTGAAGAAGAAAACAAAACCAGTAAGTTCAGTAGTGCTATACAACTGAGCTTTGCAGTCAACAACAAAAGTAAATCAACAGTTTTCAACAGCAGGTCAGGAAATGTTTGACAGTCAAAGGTCATTGACAGTCAGGCATAATACGTAAGTTGGTAGACAGGATTATAAAAAGACATGAAGGGACTATAAATGAGGCAACCAGTTCCTTCAGCAGATATTTATGGTTGTTACATTTGATGTGATTTTTCTCCAGGAGATGGAATCAAGTACTTGAATCAAAGAGTGATCCGGTTACTTTTGGCCAAGTTTTGCTTCGGACGGTTTGGGCCTGGGAAAAGTTATCATGATAAAGAGGTCCTTAACTAAAGACAATTTCAGCACGTCCACTGTGTCAAGTTTGAAACTGTTGGAGAGTGCAAAACAAACACCAGCCATTTTGCAAACAATGATGTCGTGTTGCCTAATACAAACCCTAGCATTCAGCTAAAACAGCGAAAAACTCAAAGGCAGGTCCAAAATGCAAAACATCAGTTAGTATGGAGTGTCAAGCCTTGCAAACATATACCATTGTTCAATCCATCTAACATGCAATCTATTTGGATAGAGATGCAGACAAACTCCTGATGCATACTGGGAAGAAAAATCCACAACAGGAAATAATAACATCAACTATATTCTGGAAAATAAACTGCCTTTAACAAACAAAAATATTCATTAGTTGGTATTAGTCAATCATGCTACGTGCATCTGTCTGCCTACAACTCACCCCAAACTTAAAACATTAAGAGAAAGTACATTCGATTCATTCAAGATTGTAAACTATGGCTAACATAAATTAAGGATGCTCATCCATGCTTTTCATATCATGTGCACAAGGCAGAAGCTGTGCAAAAGATTTAAAACAAAAATAAGTGAGATTGCTAATCTGCATTCCAAATCAACCACAGCTACAATAGGCTTCACTTCCTAATCAAACTAAATTTCTGAATTCAAAAATCTGCCTCCTTTTCATGCCAAACTGGACACTATCACATAGTAATGGTACATGATCTGCCAGTATTCTTTGATCTGACAGGCATAGCTTGCGTTTCAGCCCCCAAAAAATTTACACGAAAGTAACTTTTAATCTTCTTGCTTTCAATTGATGCTTAAAACATTTTCTCAGGTCAAAACTGCTTCCTGGAATCACATTCCAAAGTTAGGTTGAGAGACTCTGAAGTTAAAATCTGCTTAAAATATGCCGGATCTGCGCAGGCTAATCTGCACATTGAATTGGACTGTCTCATTCCCAGATGGCAGAAAATTCTACAGTCACAAAGGTCACAGGGTTAGAAAATAGGCCTTGTCAGAAATACTTGGCTGTGGCTTGAAATTCATACGCAACTCTATGGCAAGTAGCTGTAGCCACAACCATACACTTGTGTGATGTATCAAGCCGCAGCCAAATGATTTAGACACGGCTATATCTATACAGTTCCAACTAAGATTGTCATCTGCTCAAAGAAGTCTTTAGAAGAAAAGGGGGAAGGGATGCAGAATTTGATTTGAGGTTTACTTTCATGCTCAAAAACCAAACACTTCATATCTTAAATGCATTTTACAAGAGTAATATAAAACATCAGGAATTACCTCAGCCTTCAGCCTCGGATGGAGCAGAATGTAACCGTTGCTATTGATGCCAAAGGCATACCCCTCAGGTCCAATCTATGGAGTCAGGAAAGAACGATTGTATGTGCAATGTCAGTACTCGATATGGGAGTCTCAACATGTTCTTTTGTGCAAAACCATTACCACGGGTTGCACTATTTGTTTCCCTATCGTTAGAATTGCATTTTCATCCTTAACTGTTGACGAGCTCGAATTTTGATTCATATGCAATTTCTAAATAACTGCGCAACTCAAGTGAATGATTTGCTGATATCAAACGGAGATAGGAAAAAGGCGTTAGCACCCCAATTAGGGCTGTGCACACTTTTGTTCTGAAATGGGAGAATTATGCAGCAGAAATGCAAGTAGATGTTTGTAGGAATGTCAGTTTTGCATACTCCTGACGCACATGACATCCACTCAGTCTACAGATTCATGCTTTGGATGAAATCCAAGTTGGAAATAAATGTAGAGGCAACCATGCCTAGGTCTTACCGAAAGTGTGACTCATTAAGTCTTACCAAGCTTATGAGTTCACACCTCCAGCAGGGATTTAAATATGGAGAACAATCTACTTGGATCTTAGTTGTAATGGACTGGACTATAAGTGTTCGGTGATTGGAGCAATGAAAAACACGGGTGGGGATCTGAGGTGGGGGTGGGGCTAAGGAGGAAGTGGGAGGGGCTAAGGAGAAAGTGGGCATGCCGTGCTTATCAACAGCTTAGGGTGGACAGGATGTTGATAACTCCAAGCACAGCTATGTCTACAATGTGCAAATGAAGGTGGAATGAGTGACAACTTGTGCCATTCTTTGGGTTTCTACTCTGTGACTTCAGTTCTGATGGAGGGAAACTGACTTGGTCAACTTGGGTGAGACTTGACAGATTTTTTTTTTGTGGGTGGTGAGAACATAGTTGCTTTTCCAAAGCATGGGCGCTATAAAGGAGGGCAAGTCTCCTCCCCAAAAGAAGAGAAATGACAATAAAAACAAAAAACAACATAAGAAAGTGAAAGAACAGCACGTTCAAAGATCTTCATAAAATTGGGGGAAAATGATTTCAGGGTTCCTGCACCTAGAGGACAACTGAATTCCACGACTTTTCCATAACCAATTTAAGAAAATCCATGACTCAACAATGCAATCTCTTGGACTATTCAGACTTTTAAAGTTGTGAATACAATCACAGACTTTATGCCCTTTTTTCTGATGATAGAAATCACACACAAGTGTTCGAAAAGTCCCATGACTTTTCCACAACTTTAGTCATTTTTATAAAATTCTGTGATTTTTCCAGGCCAGGAAAATGAACACAAATTTCCATGACTTTTTCATAACTTTTCCAGGCTGCAGGAACCCTGTGATTTATAAGACATTCCTGGAAAATCTCCCAAAGGTTTCACACACAAAAAAGCAACCAAAAAAGAAAAAAAGAAGGGTCAAACTAGTTTAAAAGTTCACAAATATTTCATTAACAATGAAATTATATACTTTTCGGCATAAAACAAGGACTCTTTCAAAGTAACTTAATTTGATGCTAATAAAGTAGTTTGTGGAAGATTGACTGCAAGTGAAGCAGAAGATAGGACATGCATCTGTAGTCCAATGCATCGTGCATGGAACAAGCCAGGGACACTGAAGCCAAGCAGACCACCAACACTGTCCCTACAACTTGGACAGACAAAACTCTTGATACAGACATTTTGGCACAAAATATTACATGTTACTGAAAGTTTTGTACCTTGTGCCACACAAAAGGTTTTCACTCCTCATAATTTCTTTTTACTCCTCAAAATTTCTTCAATGTTTTAGACCTCTTACTTCTCGTGGGCTGATTTATCTTTTCATATGTGGTCTTTTTGGAAAGATCAAGATTAATGAACTTAAGAATAAAAAAATTAAATTCACAGGCTGCGGACACATCTTTGACCACACATTTGAAGTTTCTCCTCATCAAATAACACGACTCCATTAATTAACACCCTGATGAGTTGTCAATTGAAAACAACAGGTATTTTAACCTCACACCTCGGTCGCATTGACTTCAATACTACCAAAAAAAAATGTTCTGGTCAGAGGCCCATCCATTGTTGCGTCCATTACAAGAAAACAAAAACAGAAGCTTAAAGGAATCAGCATGATCTGCTGGCGTAAGGATAATGCAATATACTGCATCAGTGATGACTCTCTGAAATGGCCCATCTGCTAAAATCATTTGAGTGCTCTTGATGGCCAACAAAGATCCAAGTTGTTTGATCTGTAACCCACAGTGCTGGACGTATGTGAGACCTGTGAGTGCCACTTTTTTCATGAGATTTTGCAAGCTTCCTTAAATGCCACAATTCTTGACGTGAGAACATCTTACATCTTCTCTTTTGCCTCTTTGGTACATGACGCTGTACATACCTGACAACGTGGCACTCATAAGTAAATCATACAGCAAAGTATGACGTGCATACATTGTGCATGTGTACAAGCATGACACCCAACAATTGTTTCATTCAGAGCTTGATGTCATCAAGATTAGCCTATTGCTAATGCTCGAGATAGCTTTTGCTTCACTCCAGGCTCTCAATAAAGCAGTTTGCCAGCTTATACAATGTATTATTCTTTGCTCTACAACTGCAGCTTCACTTCTTCTTTTTTAAAACATGGCAGCCAAAATTGGTCCAAATTTTCCAAATTTAAGTGACTGATCTTCAAGGTCTTTATTTACTTCCAGTTCAAGTTCTGAAAATGAGTGAAATGTTACTCAAGCAAGATGGCTTTGAAGACAACACCAAAGCATATAGAAATATCACTTTTTTCAACGGTAGTTGTTTTCATTTGCTAAAGTAAACCAATAACAGGTCAGCTTTTGACAAACCCGCAACAGGCATAATTATCCTAGACAAACCCAAACAGGTAAGAAATGCATCCTTGCGATCACTCACTCAGTTTCACAAAGCTCCAATCATGGTTTGGATGGAGTGGGACAAGATGGGATTAATGGTCATGGCTTAAAGGATTAAGGGATTAGAGAGGGTGAGGACTAGAGGGAAATTGTTGGAGAATGGGGAAGTGCAAGGGTTTGACCAGGATTGGAATTATGAACTGAGAAGTTGAACCGACAATTGGTTCAGTTCAAATTTATTAGTTCATTGTCAATGTTACTTTATTTATTCACTTGGAAACTTTTGTCAAAATGCAAGCAGCACACACACAGCACTTAAATATTATTCAACACTGGATTGAAAAAAAAAATTAAGTGTGAAAGAAGCCAAACAGTTGCATGACACTTGTGACATGCAGGGGACACAGCACAATGACAAGACATGTATCAGCATTATATCATAGGGTGTTCATGCACATTATGATCACGTGCCTTCATGTCACATGACAGAAACATGCTGTGCGTCACATGACCAACAGGTGTAGGACGTAGCATACACATGATGATGTGAAGATGTGCAACATACGGAACTGGTGATGAATCAACACATGCATGAAAACAATCCATGCTGTTAAAGATGTCAAATGCTATACAAACACTGACAACAAGCCTTAACGATCTTACTGTCTGCTCTTGGTAATTACCATCCATTAGCTTATATGAACATGGTTGAATTTATGGCACCAAAGGTTTTTTTTAGCACGATAGACTGAAAGTGTGCCACAGTTGCATAATTGAAATTTGCACATAAAGAATGTAAGGTTGTAGTGCAGACCTTTCAAGGCCATTACAAGACCAGAACAGGACCACTAGTCTGAATTCAAGTCACAAACTATCAAGATGGGCTGTCACTGTTCACTCTGTTACTTGTGACAGGTCTTTTGACTGGTCCTATGTCCAGTCTCATGATAGTCTCGACTACGGTACTGAAAATGAGAACATTGTCTTTGCCATTTGTTACACGACTCGAATTTTGCCTCTGTTTGCTGACAGGATAAATGATGGTACCAAAACAGGGTTCAAGGGAAAGCAACCAGCATTTCACAGTACCCCACAGCAAGAGCTAGACTGTTTTAGGGTTGTTGTCATGTGACCCACTCATGCTTGTTACATGGGACGCCACTTAATACTAGCCCGTGAAACCTGGTGCGCTACTTTTTTTCAGTAGCTGGGGGGACCAATGATTCATGAAGAGGGGACAATGCAGTATACCATTTAAGACATTTCAAAAATGGGAATCCATTAAATCGCTTCGGTAGCTTAGTTGGTAGTGATTTGAACTGCAGATCCATAGTCCCTGGTTCGAATCCGACCCATGTGTGCTATTCAATTTACCAATTTTATCATTGTGTTTGGGATTTCTTTTTTCAATTGATGCAGAAACATAGTCCAAGCGAAAACCCTCTAAGAGTCTTGAGAAAAATAGCAGACCAGGTTTCACGGGTTAGTATCTAGTCACTTCCTGTTACATGACCCATGCGTGAACGGAGGTAAAATCTGATGGTGGTACATGCTGACTCTGTGATGACAACTTACGGCTTGCCCATATGTGGCGTTTAGTTGAGGCTAAAACGACACCACAAAAGTGAAAGAAGAGAAAGATGAGCCAATAACAAGGTTGTACAACCAATACGTCTCAAGTTGTAACAGCAAACAGGGCATGTACATGTACACTGTATTAGTAAATGCATACACTCTAATGTGGACCTACTGGGGTACGGACAATAAGGCTCAAACTAACGGCGTTGGAACATTCCTAGAATTGTATCTACATGTACACGTACGTACCTGCAGGAAAACTGCTGAACCTGGTCTTACGAGTGACCCCGAAACTATCTGTTCATGTGAACTTTCATTTTAGCACCCAAAGTCTACCTTTCTGTAACTTTCTTATTCAAAATCTAATCACCTTTTTTGGGGGGGGGGAGGTTGATGTCAGCATGTAGAGAAGGGAGATCAAGTCCCGACCCATTGAACTAAAACTTGTCTTAATACCTCCAAACACCATCTTACCATAGAGACATCAGAATGTTACTGCTAAGCATTTTCATAGATGGCTGTTCCATTGGTTAATGTTTCCATCTTGTTTTGGGCTATTTCAGAAATGTGGGCAACTAAAGTTTACCTTAAACAGGGCTTGAACATGAAAAGAACAGAACAGAAAAGGATTCCTTTGGATGAGATAGAAAAAAAAATCTTTCAACAATAACATTATTTCAGGTTCTACATTTGCTTGCATGTCCCTCCCACAACCCCCCCCCAACCCTAAACCAGAACAAAATGGGAAGCAAAGCACTGGATGCCAAGTTCCAGGCTTGACTTCTTGTCTCCGCAAAATGAAGGGTAAAACAGGTTCAGGCCCGCCCATACTGCTTACCAAAAAGGTAGCAAGATCTATTAATATGACGTGCTGAATGAGAACCAAATGATAAGGAATCAAATGTTTGACAGATATACATGTAAGTAGTCCAAGGGAAACCACAGTGCTCTAGATGTTGTCAAAACACACCATGCTGCTGTGCACAGTGCACATACTTATCTACAATTTACGTGTTAGTAAGGTCAAATACATGTACAGACAGCCTGCCTGACACAAATAGGGAACACAGGATCATATACCAAGAAGCAGGGGGAGACAAGACAGAACACACATACGAACACAGATGCCATCAAAAACAAGAATGGAAGGGGGTTACTGTTGAAAAAAAGGCAACCATTTCTTGTCACTGAGATTAGGTACATGTGTGTGTTAAGTCAACACATTTAAACAGTGACCGGCAAAAACAGATTTTTGACATGATCCATCTCTTGCTTTTCAAGTTGTTCCAGAATGGATGGATGTTCTTTTGAAAAGTAAGGGGTTAACAGGAAAATCTGACTGTGTAGTGGGGTGTCGTTGACACTTATATTGAACATACCGGCTTACACTATGAGGCAATAGCGCCACTGGAATGGTTAGTGTATCTGCCAGAGGGTTCACCACAGAACTGAACCTTACATTTATGTGACAGTTACTAATGAACAAGACAAACAGGACCAGACTGTATAATTCACAATGCATGTATGACATCTTGCAGAGCTGACACAATTGGAAAAAGAAAAACCAAATATTATCGGGTAAATTTTTGTGAATTGTTTAAAAGTCGGATCTAATCAGCGTCTTGCATGACCACAGAAAGTAAGCATTCATTTCTATACCGGCTGTTTAAATAAAATGTCACCTTGGTATAAACAAAGTACAAGGGTTCTGTAGAGGGGAAAAGGAAACACCATACACGGGAAAATGCAACAGGGAAGGGTTGACCACGTGACAGACACGTCTGTATTGAAAACGAGTACACAAGACATTTGTCACTGGGGCAGTGTGAACGTGGTCATTATTGTACACAAATCACGTTGGTAAATCTGACTGTATGTGATTAGGATTAGGTTTCTGGTCACAGACGGACATAGAGGAGTCAACACAGATCATCATACAAATAACATACTGTATGTACACTTATCACATCATCCAGACAACCAGCGGAAACCAGCTTTCTTTGCTCTTGTGGTGAAAATCTATCACTATGCAGCAGTTGTTAAGACATCATCATCATCATGACATTTGGAAACCACGGGGTTAGAGACTACATGTGCGTGTAACAGCAAATGGGTTAATGGGCTAACGACACATAAACTCAAGGTCTGCCCCAAGCCTGTTCTTCACTGCATCCACAGGTCATGTACAAACCAAAACACAGAAGGGGGCAATGCCACACTTTAAACTGATGGAGGCCAACTCTCTTTCACGAACAGACAAAATAAAAACAGGTTGCAATGCACGTTGGTAACACACTGTGAAATACATGTACAGAGAAGGCAACGAAGCAGACAAGATACATGTAAGTTCTAACCGGGGGTTGGAATGTCTTGACAGGATTACAGCGGGAAACTCATTTGGAATGGTTCTTAGACTGACAGGTGTACGACCTATAATTGTGAGGGCAACAGGATAGGACAAGAGGGGTCGGGGCCAAACAACGCAAGGGAACACATATTTTCTAACAGGTTATCCAGAAACTGGGGCCTTTTTGTTTGATCTTTCAATCCATGGCCACAAATGTACATGTAAAGTACATCTGTGGAGAGGAGTCCTTCCCAATGATTGCTGAAGGGAAGAAAAGGGGGATCAAATCTTGCGAGTCACACCATCTTATGTCTCTGATGTGACAGATCATAAGCGATGGTGCGACACAGAGGTTAAAACATAAGCAGGCAGACTAACAAAGGGAGTAGAAGATGGACACAGACATGACTACCTGTAAAAATAAGTGTCAAGTATTAACATAAGGTTAATGAGACACATATAGTGATACATACAGTGGAAGAAAATAGCTAGCACAGGATAGATGGACAAACAGAACAACACCAAATGGGACAAACAACAAGTGAAATACAGACTGTCTGCGGCAAAGAGAGTAATCATCTGCCAGCCAAACATGTAGTCGTGACTGACAGACACACAAACTGACAGAGGACACAAGAAGTGCAAGATATGCCCAAAGGCATATTTTTTTTTTCAGAAGTGGTACGGACATAAAGGTAATGACAGAAACAGTTCAAGACCCACAGAAGTAGCGACAGACATGGTGAAAGATGGACCGATAACAATGAAGAGAGTTGCAGGGGGGATAGAGACATGGTGTGACAGACACAGTACAGGGACATCAAGACAGGCACAATGGCACATGTGTACATTACCTTTCTCTGGGGCACGGTGTCTTCCATGTTCTTTGTGGTGATGTCCGTCCCCACCACGGCCAACATTTGCTGATTCTGATGAGAGGGCAAAAGACGATATCAAGTTTGGACTTCAGAGAGGAGAATTCAACCTCCTTGCAAGCAATATCCAAAATATATCAACTGGTACCAGAAAAGCCCCACTCTGTGACGTTTTCTGTTACAATCCCCCCCACACACACGTACAATTTGCCTCATTCACGAGTGGGCTATCTTGAATCAAAAGCTAAGAGATCACAGTAAAACTCTCTAAAACGTCATATACATATCAGCATGAAGATGATGCAATAGCGACAAATTATAGATCACTATACTTATTCAAATTGGCAGTTCCAAATTATGGAAATGAAAACCAAAAACCAAAAACCTGTGCCTGTAATACTGGTAAAATAATCAGGCCCTTTCCCATTTCAGAGTTTACAACAAATAAAGCACTTGAGGGAGCACGATCCAAAATTGCCGTCCCGTGAATAATGACCACACCCCAGTATATTGGTTGCATAGTTGCAGCAACTGTTCGGAGTGGGGGGGGCGTGAAAGAACAATCATTATGGGGAAATACAACTGAGCATGCCTTTCTACGAAGTGTTCTTGTGAGCAACCTGTCTGGCTTTGAAATACCATCCACATTATTAAGGCCAAGATGCGACTGCCGACGATCATATCAGGTGCACACTCTCAGGGCGGGGTACACAGGTTCTACTGGTGGGGGAAGAGGCACAGGGACGAACGTGGTGGCAATCAGAGATGGGCAGGGGAGGAGGGTGACTGTATATTAGGGGACTACTTCTACTAGGAGCCCGATTTCATTTCTGCACCCTTCAAATAGTCCAGTGCACATATACGATTTTAGCAAACAACGGTGCCTAGTGATGCATCGCTGGTGGATTACTATCCCAGTACCATTGCTACTATTGGAAGAATATTGCTTCTGCATGTACTTCTTGGCAAGCGCATGATTGTACTCATACAATACATAGCTTAGTTGAATTAACTCTTTAATGATTAGGTTTTGTTGTGGGACACCCAGCACTTCATTCAAAGTTGGGTATTCAATCAAACCGTTCGTGCACTTTTTAACCGCGTACAAGGAGCAAATAACGTTACATTCTTCCATTACAAAACAAAGCAAAAAAATAAACAAACAAAAAATGAATGAATACATAAAAAACTCTGACGCATTACAAAGACAAAACTTCAAAACACATGTGAGGGACTGGAGTGAGAACTGGGCAGGAGGAAAGAGCCACTGTACACAGACATTTGATTAAAATCAGTCAGAAAAGAACGGAACCATAACACTGAATGCAACACAACTTTACATTAAAGCACCTAGCCATCCGTCACAAAAGAGGAGTTTTGTCTTTGAAATGCATACAATATTTGGCAAGGACGGTGTACCGGTTTGGAGCACTCTGGCAATTTAAATCTGGCTCTGCAACCTGGTCGAGGTGTCTGCTTTATTTCATTAAGAACGCGTATCAAATATTCACGGTAATCTGGACACGTATACAGATTGTTCACTTGAACACTGAGTCAAGACCTACGTGGAAATATCCTTTTTTCTTTCTTTTTCAGGGCAGGTAACGAACTGACACATGCCTTAAAGACCTCTTCTGAAACGCACAAGTAAACTCACTGGGTTTTAAAGTACATGTATATGTTCTTCCAAGTTCAAGGTTTTGAACAATTTCCAACCCAGCGGGGCATACACTCAGCAGCTCATGCATGCCAGAGGCAGGCCAAATTCCACAGGCAAAATTAGCAGTCAGCCAAAAGATATGTTACGAAAAATCACTTATTTTTCATGGATTCGCTTGTTTTTCATGAATTCTCAAAGCAAAAAACATGCCATCATTAGTGAAAAATTCACTCCAGGTAAAGTAATGAAACCCTGTGGCAAGTGAAATCAACTTGTAATGGCGCAAGTCAAAGCGAAGATTCACACTGTGTTTCTGCATCTAATCACTCAGTGCTCCACGAAATATAAACCAAAAAGTGGAGTGGCATCACGGCTGACGGAACATAAGCAACACCGCCCAAATTCAATTGGATTATTCACACGTGCTTAGCATGCAGGCAGGTTGGAAAACAAAACCAAACCAAACAGAAACCCTTCGTTGCTCATGACGCAATACCTGCTTGGTTGAATTAACATTCTTCAAGAAGTGAACGCACATGCAGAGAGTAAAAAAAAAAGGTTGAAATATTTAAAAATGACAAATCAAAACAACAGAAAACTCAAACTCCAATCATGAAAAGGCCCCAAAGGGCTAAATCCCATGCGGCCTCAGGTTGCAAAGCCATGAGACGCAAGACAAAACTAATCAATTTATCGCATTGGAAAGAGTAAAAGCTACTGTTTGGATATCATTCCACATGATTCATCAACTTTTCTTATAAATCAAGACGGAAATGAAGCAAATGCCACAAAAAAGAACAGAGCAGTCATCTGTTAAAAACAGGAGAAAGTCAGAAATTGGTTGAGTGTCCAAAACCTGTGTCCAAAAACATCTTCCAGAGTTCCTTCTGTACTTCCAATGCAGCAAAGACCTACAGCTTGCACTGGACAACAGCTTTGGCTGCAGCCTAGGCCAATGTCCAAATCAACTGGCTGGGGCTAGAGGTAACATAAATGTGTGTGGAAAGAAGCCGCAGCCACTAGACAGTGGCTGGCACAGACACACGCTTCTGGCCACAGCCTTAACTTTCCGAAGCAGTCTCAGATTTCCATTCCTTCATGCACGCTGATACAACTTTGCTCCACGCAAAGATCAGTTTCTGTCAGATACAGATGTCACTGGTGTGAGAGAAAAATCAGCAGACCTGTCTTTGCACAAGAATCACATGAAGAACGACCAAACTGTGCACAACACGCAGGAAAAATGGATGAATTGAAAAAATAAATTAAAGATCAAAAAAACAAATTCAGAGAAGTTACGTTAAAAAGTAGAACTTCCTTTGAACCACGGCAACAAGGTGAATGAAAAAAAAAATGTTGTTTTTGAACCATGACAGTAATTCCTCACGTAACTTCTTACATTTTCTCCGGTCTTGTTGTAAACAGGTCTTGTCAGCGTTGTCATCATTCCCAAGCCCTGGGAAGCAAAAAGAAATGAGGGAGAATATTCAATATTTAAGTTTGAATGTGGACTTCTCTGCAGGCAAAGAAACCTACAGTAACTGGATTTGAGTCTGAGGACGAGTGTATTTGTTCTTACTAAGAAACCCTCGATCTGCAGCAGTTGAGGTCTGTAATATATTTCCTCGTGTAAGCACTGTCCATTTTTCTAACAGGAAAACCCATAATGACAGACCATAGCTTTTCAGGCCAATTAGTGCTTGACTACGTTGTTAGGCAAGCTCTCATTTGTCAAAGATCAGCAACATTATGAGAACTGGCCATGCTCTAATGTGTCTTAGACTTGTTCCGAGGCCTGTGCTTGCCACATTTCTCAGTTCACAGAGACCCCTTCTAACCAAATCCACAATATATCCAGAGTAGGTGGCCCTGGAAACCATGGGACAATGGCCTCACCAGTACATCCAGGTAGATGTCAGACCACTGGAAGTGTTTCCTCCCACTCAGCACCATGGGACGACTCAGGACCGGCACATAATCCTGAAGGTCAAGCAGTTAAGCATTGGTCATAATTACTATCTAATTGCTCTCTCTTAATGTTGGTAGTTTTCCTACATCACTGCCTTTAAAACAGTACCCAAAATGACTACTTTCTGTGAAAAAACAAAATCTGAAATACAAGATGTCATCTGCACGAAATTGCGCGGCAGTGACAATGGTCAATGGAATAAACTCCCAAGATCTACAGTGCTACAAAATCCCAGCCTTCCATACACCTGTTGCATCCTGACACCATGGACGTGTATAATAAAATCTGGCCTCGCAATGCCCTTAATCAGCTTATAGAGTCATTGAATCCACTCATGGCCATTTTACCGAGCCGAATACAAAGCTTTCCTGGCAATGCCCGCCTTTGTTCTTCCCGATGTCAATAGAAGGTAACCAACCCACGATTTGTATTCGGCTTGGTAAAATGACCTATGGTTGGCTTTTTTTTCATACAAAGGCGTTGCAAGTCCAGCTTTTTTATTTATGTCCGTGCTTGACACACTGAGCAGGATTTCCCCGATGCATTAAACAGTAAAAGCTCACAACTAAAGGCCGGTTCATACATTGTGCAAAAGCGAACACGAATGTAAATTTATGACATCAGATGAAATATTTGTATTGCAAATTTGTAAAGTTGAACCCATTTCAACTCAAGTGAAACAACTTTTTCGTGACGTCAAATTTGCTTCGCTTTCACATCCGCCTGCAGTATGAACTAACCTTAGTTCACATTGACACAGTGAAATTTAACAAACTGTAGATCTGAGAAAAAACATCTTACCAGGGTTGTAAGTCTGACAGCTCCAAATGACTGGATATTGCTGAAGTATCCTGTTAATTGATAAAGGAAAACTGAGAAATGTCTCAAATCTGTCAATTATTCAAGCAGCTATAAAGATGAACAAAAAAACTGACTTGAGCGGGACTTGAACCTGTGACCTCCAGATTACCGTACTGGTGCTCTGCCAACTGAACTATCCAGCCCTACGTTGGCTCTTCCCATATATCCATTAGCTTTGTTCATCTTTACAATTATATGTAAGCATCTAGTCAGTTTCCCCATAACGTTTATTTTATGAATTATTCCAGCAGTTCAAAACATGCGCTAAAATTAAAGTGCACCTCTATGGAAAGCGTGTTTTCTCTCATTTTATCTGTTCAAATAAATGAGAAAGCATCCAAATCGAACACAGTGTCATTTGTCTTCAGGGCTCAACTATAACAAGTTTAAAAGGGCTTTTTTTTTCTGTTCATGCCAAGATGCGAATTCTGAATGTAGATTGCGTCATTTGGAGAAAACAGAGAAAACGAGGGGAACCCTCGCCCTGTGCCCATTGTGGATAAACCCATACGTATCCATTTTTGTAGCAATTGTTTGGCATGCGCAAGAGTTTATCCACAACAAAAACTGGGCAAGGGTCGTTTTCTCCAAATGACGCAATCTACATTCAGAATTCACATCTTGGCATGAACAGAAAAAAAAAGCCTTTTTAAGTTTGTTATAGTCAAGCTCTGAAGACAAATGACACTGCATTCAATTTGGATGCTTCAATATTTATTTGAACAGATAAAATCAGAAAAAATATGTTTTCCTTAGAGGTACACTTTAAAGATTAATTTGAATGATTAAAGCTTATCTCAAAGACATGGCAGAGAAGCAATCTTGATTGGGACTGCAACTTTACATGTGAATCTCCTTACATCCTCCACCAGTGATGCATGCAATTGGATGTCAGACTGTCAGAATTACACTGCTGATAATACATACATACAGTACACCTGTGGGAAATGGCCCACAGCTGAGAGCAGGTGTCTTGCACATGACCACATATTAATTCCAACAGCAGTCACGGAATTCGGACATGGCCTATCTCTCTGCTCTTGTGTGGACACCTGTAACGACAACCTCAACGGTTCCCATGGAAATCTTATGGTTTCCAGGACTTACCTGGTATAAGCAACTTAAATCTAAGCGTAGCTGATGAAAACCTTGCATTTACATTCCCCATGCCGGCATATTTCAGAAAAAAAGAGAAGAACCTAATCCTAGAAACAAAATCAGGCAAAAAGGCTCAAAATATTTGCCGATCACCGGCACCCTTGAACAGAACAAAGTAAATCCGGTCTGAGCTGAAGTGTACCCTCACCACCAAAGAAGACAGGCTCGTGGAAAGATTTTTAACTGAGCTCGTGCACACGACTGGTATACATGTGAGGACCATCCATCCGGCCAGATGTTGGTCGTGCATGCTCAGCGTGTCCTGTGCCAGATGAGCACAAACTTGTTCACGCGCATACGTGAGTGCTCAGCAAAGGGCCCTTGTTTCTATGTTTAAAGCACGCCCTCTCTTGTTCACGCTAGGGGTGGCTTGCTGAACACAGAGACAGCGTTATGACCCACCTTTGTTTGAGCAGGCCATTTCTCGAACGCCATCTGCCGGTACCATGGAGTCTGTTCCCACTTTGAAGACAAACACTCGGATCTTTCAAAAGAAAAACACAACAGAACTTCTCATTTACCACCAAGTGTGGTGAACATACTTTCTCAAACTGAGCAAAAATGAAAAAAAAAAAGGTGCACAGACAATCTAACTCTTAAAACAAGCACGGTCGTGACCACTGACTCTAGGTTGAACCAGTGGCCATAAGAAAGGTGATGTCAAATTTTCGATGGCAATCATTTGTTTTTCGATTAGATCCTCCAAAGTTACATTTTGCCAAATGAAAAGCAAAAACCTTGTTTCCAACCTGAGACATCAAGTTGCAAGTTGTCCAAGCCACTTTTGGGTGGGTGGCCTTTAAAAGAATCTTGTAGAGTGTAAATCAAAGGGAGCCCTCAATCATTTTCACTTTCATAATGAGCACTTTCATGGGGATGAAACTGAATGATGCATGCACTACAAAACGTACATCTCATGCAAACTGAAACAACAAAGTCACTTGAGACACTGGATTTCGGACTCATACTGTGAGATTCAGTCTCATATCTGCAGCACTCCAATTGGCTCGTGCCAAGCAAATTCTCAACAACACAACCTTGTACTCACACTGACTGGGTCATTGTACTTCTCAAAGATCAGACGTTCGTCTGCCTCTCCCCCGTCGGTGAAGATGAGGATGACCTGGTGGCACTTGGCTCCTTGATTCTGCTTCTCACGCCCCGCCTTCTCTACATCTTCAAACTGTGGCAATCAAAGTGGGAAGTGATACCTCTATGTTTAGTACAGACCTGGCTTGTTTACTGCCCAGCTATTCTCCCTGGGCGAACTTGTCACAGTGGCAGTAAAAAAATGGTGTGACTTTCAATTCTGACACCCAATGGGATGTAGAGTTGATATTTCAACATACTTGATTGGAAGAACATTTAACAGGTGCAATTCAATCAACCAATCACTGACAACAAATGCTACAAATATTTTTTCTTTATAGTGCACAAAACTTTGGCACCCCTCCCCAAGAAAAAACAAATCAATGGTGCAATCTGCAGACATTACCCTTACATACAAAAATTAATGTGGCCATAAATGTTGACATTTCGAACTGGGCAAGACGCTGCAGCAAACTTTTGATAGACATCCAAGCACCACACAGACTGACTCATTACAGCCATCTAAATGACATCTCTGCAATATTTCTGCCCCCCAAATTCATACTCTGCAACGTTCCAAGGCGCATTCACTGGTGTGACATTTACAACTGTGGGAGGCCATGTGCAGTGGTTAAGTTTACTACTTTAGGAGGCCATGTGCTGTGGTCAAGTCTGAGCACAGCATGCAGTCCACCTCCACACCATTCTCGGACTGCCTGCGTGTATAAAATAAATGGGGACAAGGATGACCAACAGGACAGGAACACAGTTGTAAAAAAAAACCCCACCTTTCTGAATGCCTCAAATGCCTTTTCCAGACCCTCCTTGAAGACGGCGAGCCCTGATGAGGACAGTTTCTTCACTTCCTCTTTCAACAGCTGACAGAGTGGGAACAATTATCGACAAAACAGGGGTTTAGTAGTAGTACGTGCGTACTGGCATATATAAACTTCCCGACTCCGAAATTTAGTCAAAATATGCAGCATAAAACCTTGTGCTTAACGTAAAATACGCACTATAGCAAGTGTACTATGAGTTTCTATATTTTTCATGTTTCATCAATTATGCCCTCTCCAACAGAGCAACATTCATAGTAGATGCTAGTGAAACTGATTTTTCCGTGTTCGTCTGTGTGAAGCTTTTACTGTCGCTCCGTGCGTAACCATGATGAATTATTCAGAAAATCCTGAATTGACGGGAAAGACCCAAAGCGAAACGTGTCAGGTCTCGTGTTCAGGTCTGGAATGCAGTAGTAGACCAAAATGGGCTACTACGCACGCGTTGCGCTCATAGATCGTTTTTCCGTACAAAAACGTGGTCACTAGACTCCCCAAAGACACAATGCAGTAAAAGTGATTTCTTGCTTGCAGGGACCACACTACTTTCATCGATTTTTACATGAATGGATGGGGTTTGAGTTGTTCAGACTCCTCACTGAAGTTCCGCGAAAAACGTGAAGAAATAACAAGGAAAATACAACACAGCACAACCAAAAATCCCAAGAGTTTTCTGCGTTGTAAATACTTTCATACAGTTTTAGACAAGACAGAACAAAATTATCTTCATGGCTGACAAAACGTTCCGGACATAAATTTAAGGAAACTTACATTTTTGTTGCGTAAGTTAGCCTGAACGAAGGTGTCAAAGCAACCAACGATGTGTGAGGTGGAGTTGAACTGCATGGGTTATAAATGAAAAAAAAAAATCACATTCATTTTAAGATATGAAGGGGACAGAGATGCGGTATACGGTTTACATTTCTGTCTACCTTATCACTGCAAAGGAATTACAGCCAATAAGCAACATTATGCAAAGGTACTATCATTTTTTGTGGGGGGGGGGAAACCCCAGAGAACTTGGAGTAAAATCCTTTTGGAACAGGAGAGGATTATAAATGAACAACTCTGCTCACATACAGCCCTGGAAGGGAACTGAACCCAGGACACAGTGATGCCAGGTTAGCGTTTCACGCACTGGCTGCTTGAGCCATGTTTTGCCTTTCGAACAAGCCAAAGTAATGTTTGGTTCATAACAAGAACACAAACTCACGTAAGCCACATTGACAAAGTCATCATTGCCTAGAGTATCCAGGGCCTTATATACGGACACCTTGGTGATCTCCAGGGTCATGCCATATGTGCTGCCACTCCTGCAAATGAAACAGCGGTAGGATCTCTGTAAAACCCGATGCCCAAATCAATGGTCTTAGTAATGCTGCATGAAACAGTTGTAGGGCAACCATGAACTGAATGTCCCGTGAATGATCCTTGTTATGTGTCAAGCTATCACTGTACCCAGTAGGATGTCAGAGGTCTCAGAACTTGGCACAAAACAGAGCCTGTTTGTTTCCCATGGATCCGGATCAGTCATCCCAACGCTGGTTTGCTCCATCCAGTGAGAGGTTCTTGTGTCAGTGAACCGACGACAATGGATCACTGATCCAGATTTGGATCCGAGTAACACAAAGAGGCCCATGGACTGCAGGAAATCTATGAACCCTTTTCAAGGCACACCATTAAAAGGTCTACAGTAACAGCAAATTTGGAAGGTTGAATCAAATTGTTTGGATATACCTTGGATGCAATACACAAACACAAAACAGCAGTAAATACATCAGACTGTCCCAGTGATGTGGGCCACGATAAATCATGGAGCAGTTATGAAGTCAATGTTATGTTTTAACATTAGAGATGACTGTCCAAGGACATTTACAAGCTTGCGCTTGTATAGGATAGTTAACTCACGTGTCTATGAGAATCATGACGTTCTTCGGTGAACTTGCAGCCTGGATGTACCTGTTGGATTTAATAGCCAAGATCATTTCTGACTGCACCAAGTTATGAGAATGGAAGGGGTCAGCTTATGTTTTGTAAAATTCAATGGGCACTTCCCGAGTCTAATTTGCCAGCTTTGGGCTGGAAGGGATTTCGTGTCGACTTGACTGCTGTTAAAAGGTGCAACTTGGACCTAGAAAATCAACTACAATGAGGAATACTATGTCTTTTTACACAAAGTATACCATACCATATGAACTATGCCAATGGCTCCCTTAACACATGACCATGACCACATTAAATGACCAGACAAGATACCTAGACTGTGTCTAAAGTCTTAGCAACAGCCAGCAAACAACATGTGCATCATCGGAAGCCACTTATTTAGTGGCTGTATCCATTTCCTATTGATTTATGTCTTAAAGCCAGCCACAGCTGAGACTTTTGGGGGAACAGCTCAAGTTTGGGCTTAGGAACAAGCTACATGTACCTTGATTTGAACCTCTGCGGAAACACTTCAGCTTTAAGACTAGGAAAACTAAAAACTGATTTTAAAAGATTCAATATTTAAAAGCAGCAAAGATACACTTAATGGGAGACTTTGAGACGCTGGTAACAGCAGACAAACCAGTCCTTTTTCAAGGTGTTGCACGTGCTCAGAACTATGCACGCATGAACAAAACAACACGCGCGCATGCCAAGAACTAGTAAAAAAGGACCAGTATGTTTGTCGCCACCAAGCATCTCAAAGTCTCCCATTAGTAAAAGCAGTCAGTAAAAGTGACTTTTTAAAAAGGCTCCAGTCCCACTTTAGCGAGAACATTAGCATTGACACTACAAAGCATGCACGAATACCAACAAAATGAAGAAGCGACATGAAACCAGACGCACAAGAAGAGAGACAAATCCATTAGGCCGATGTACTACAGACTGCTCACCAACAGTGTGCAAGAAAAACAGCATGCCTGATGTTAGCAAAACATTCACAGTGTGTGATACGGACGCTCTGAATCGTCCACTCACAGTCCGCTGCATGTGCATACATGTATGCAACGGCTAAGCATGAGGTGTTGTGATTCTCTGAATTCACAAACATCATTTCCCTACAAGCTGAGCACTGGATGCCCGCTTCATATTTACATGCAAGTAGGGGTACCGGTATGAACGTTGGCTTTTTAAATATTCTTTTCCCGTACCCAGATGTTTACTTCTTTTTATAAACGACAACTTTCAAACTGGCATTTAATGAACAAATGTGTTGTTTAAAACTCTCCTGGGCATGTGACAGATTGCGATCAGCACTTTTACAATTTGGAAAAAAAAAAAAGCTCCAAACTTCTCTTCTGCATGAGCTACATGTAGGTGTATGTTTCTAGTCATCAAGTGACAGGTGAATTTAATCTGTATGTTTCTAGTCACCAAGTGATAGGTGAATCTAATCTGTCATTCAAAGCAGCGTCTCATTCTACATGCCTTGTGCACAGTTTACTAAAATGTCCGCATTGTGAGGTGTTTGCACTGGAAAATTGGACAGCACTTGTAAATCCAGTTCTTGAGAGCAACGATGCATTCTAGCCGATGTATATGGATTTCAAAGCAGACAGTGAGCATAAGCTGGCCTTTAAAACGGCAGTGGAAGGAAAGGGTAAAGCTTTGCTGAACGGAAGAAACGTAATGGAAAAATGGATGGATGTGGAACTGCACAAGGGTTTTGAAATAAAGAACTTCACGTTTCCTGAGATGCACGTGGACCTTCATTAAACACGGCAAAAATCCTGAACAGTAAACATCCTATTAAACTTCACAGGTGCAGTGTGCACACAAAACAGAAAAAAGCAAGTGTACATGTATGTGCGATGTGATCTGCATTACAGACATGTACATGTACCAGTACCTGTGTGACTTAAACAATTTAAATCTGGACAAATGAACTGATACAATTCAAAAGGATAATTTCACAGACAAAAGGGAAAAAAACGTTTTTTCTTGATGGCGACCTCATCCGGACACACAAACGGTCATCTACGAGGAACTAATGACTACAAACGTAACAACCTGCTAAGACGAGGGCGCAGCTCTTGTGCCATCCTTGAGCCAACTTACCATCCCCTACGGCGTACATCATATTGATCTTTTTCGGGTTCAGTAGTTGTCATCCATTTTGCCGCTACACAGACAGAAAGCACAGATGGTAAGCCTATGAGGCTGGCATGACGGGCCAATAATAGCAGGATGTATCACGTGTACCCTTTCTTCAGATTCTGTCTTGGCTTTTACTTATTTGGCACTCATGAGGCAATATGGAAGATTCACAACAGTGCGCCACCAAGAGTTTGCAACGCGTTGGCCAATCACAACGCACAAAATTTGTCAACCCTTTCCAAACGCGCATCTGGTCGACAGATTTTGCACACTGTGATTGGCTAACGCGGTGCAAACTCTTGGTGGCGCACTCTTGAAAAAGAAAGAACATGTACAACCCCCCTCCCAATTTCTACATTATATCATCAATCAATTGGACCTAAAGGGGTACATTGATGTTCCAAAGTTGCTATGCACTGGAATAAATGTGAAATGTACATGAATTTTACAAGATGAGTTGTTGAACATTTACCAACTATTTGAGTGAAACTACATACCGGTATCCGCAGCAGGTGTGTGCCTTGACACCAGCTGATTTTCTAGTTTTTCTGCACAGGGAAATTTGTTGTGCACCAGAGCATTTTAAAAAGTTTTAATTTGTAAGCCTCACAGCAACTCTACTATTAAGTAGTTGCCTGCAGTGTTTACAGCTTAATGTACCGTAATTGTACATGTGCACAGTGTATCTAGTTAGAATGCTAGCATGGTTAAGGTTAGTCTACCCGTCACCCTCCGTTTATGAGTTTATCTTGAAGGTCCAGCATTGCTGTTATTAAGTTTCGAAGAAATCTTCCACATGTCAATAAGCCACACCAAGATATAGTCTCACACAGTGTTATGAGGGATGGTGCAGCACTGGCTTTTAATATCAAGTTATCAGAGAGACTCTTTAACTCTGAAGTCTACACTCTTCTGTATTTTTTTTCATTGAATTTTTTTTCTTCAATATTTTCACTGAAAGACACCACTGACGTCCTGAACAAAAGCTTTAATGCAGGCCCACAACAAAGCCGTCAAGTTTTGAGTGCAAATTTACATGTAAAGTGGACTCCAGTTCTCTAAAAAATTTTTCACTGGCATCTTCACGCACTGCACACAAACTGACCAAGCTCAACCCACAAAATTCAAATGCAAATCGATTCATCTCAGAGGCAGAAATCACGTACATCTATGTCACATCCTGACATCGCGGTTTCATCTACATGTAGGATTAAAACATTTGCCAGTCTTTCCCCTGGCAATGTTAAAATCTGCCTGTTTACTTCAAGCAAGATTTGTGAAACTGTTACCCTTTGGTGCTACCCGAGTCCATGTTTCCACTCTATTCAGTGCTTTGGATAGAAACGCAAAAATGTTTTTCTCCAGTGACAGGGAGTGAAATGCATTGGTAAAATAAATTGGGGTTTGTAAAATGTTGTATGAGCAAAACCTGCCTGTCCTGAATAATTTTTGGCAGTCCTAAGGACAGCTGGACAGATGGCTTGACGTAAGTTGACGAGACATTGCCTGGTGTGTTAAATATTTACACCTGGTGCTGTCTTGTCGACGCAGATGTCATCGATGTCATGTCATACTGCATAGCATGCAGTATCTGTGAACAAAAGCTTCATCCAAGTCTGCGAGTCTTCTCAAGTTAAAAATATAAGGAAATGTGTTTGTTGCAGTTCACCTATGGTCATTATCTAGCAATCCAGAATCCATGGCCACATTGTCGACACGCTAACGCACAGATGGTCCATCTCTGATCGGTGAGATGCTGTCATTTGCCAAAGTGGCCGTGCACATCAAGCTCAAGAACAAGGGCGGCATGCACAGTGGAACAGAGAATAAAGGAATGTGCCTATCTGATAACTGTGACATCACCATGACCTCATCAATGCAAAGGAATTTTTTTAAGATGACAGAGCAAGGCTAAGATAACGCACAGATGGTCTATCCAGAGCAAGGCTACGATAACGCACAGATGGTCCATCTCTGACCAGTGACATGCTGTCATTTGCCAAAGTGGCCGTGCACATCAAGCTCAAGAACAAGGGCAGGAGTATGGCGCCACAGCAGTCTCTTCTGAGTTTATGGCTTGCAAACTGAATTAGGACTCAATAATCCCAGATGGACTTGTGAAGAACTCGCAGGATGACAGCACAGTCTCTGAACACAAGTGGCTGCTTGACCACTCTTCCGCCACAAAGAGGGAAATGAGATGTCTGCATGAGGGGTAATGATATATGTACTCCAGGCCAGGCAATTTTGATAATGATGTAGAGCAGGTGTTGAAACCAGACTTTGTTAACACTAATAGGATACCTGACAGGTAAAAACCGTAGGCATGCACAGTGGAACAGAGAATAAAGGAATGTGCCTGTCTGATAACTGTGACATCACCATGACCTCATCAATGCAAAGGAATTTTTTTAAGATGACAGCACAAGGCAAGGAAAGGAAAGCGGCCCTGGTTAATAATTCATGTTTCATTTATTCATGAGAGAAGGTTACCAGCTTCTCAGACGCGGGTCAAAATCTGTAGGCTGAGTCCGCAAGGCTTCTTTTGCTGTGTAGGATTGAGGAGGAAGGGGTGGGGGGGAGTGGGGTTGAGGAGGATTCAAAGTTCGACTCAATATTCACGTGTAAAGTTACATCTTTCAAACAAGAGATGGTGATCGATTCTGGTACCTCAAAAGAGAGAACAGGCCATCAAAGTACAGCCATATTGTTTTGGCATCGTCAACAATGAACACCTTTTGTGAACACCACTCAATGTCATGCGGTATTGCGTGTACAGTGGCTGTATGTTTGAGCATGTTACTCCTATTGACATGGATACACTTCAGAGTAATGCTCATGCAACATTATCACGTCCTCACAAGTTTCAAAACTAGCCCAAACCAGTGCAAACAGTTTTAAATGTACCAGAATCACCGTCTATTCTCTCTGAAAAATAAGTGCATAATGGAACACCTGAACAACAGAACATTAAAATTTGTCATATCATTACATCTTATACATGTACGCACATGTACATGATTGACCCCATACTTTTCATTTGCCAAAATACTAGCCATTCCGACTTGAACTCCAGTAGTCAATCAAACTGTGTGGCAATAGTGGGTCGACTATAAGGCTTACTTGTGACTTGTGGCTACGGAGTACAAAGTACTTTGACAGACTTGCAAGTGTATTTACACTGTATGAGATGCAATGAAGAAGTTCAGTATGATCTTTCAGCATTTAATAGGTTTAACAGAATGCAGTTTTAAAAACCAAAACATTTTGAACCTGTGTTTTGCAGAACTCTTTTACAGTCAAAACACATTCAAGTGAATGTGAAGAGACAAAGCTTCAAAATAAATTTTAAAAAGACTAAAGAGGAGAAAAGAGTAATAGTTGTATTTGTTCTATGCAGAACTTGTGAAAAAAAATTGAAAGTCTGATCACGACATATTAGGAGTGAACTATGAAAAGTGATGGGGAGCCAGACGGAGAAACATACCGGGATAAGAGCGATAGAAGCCATCGGCACTTCCAAAATACTGCCACAGAAGCTGGGGATCTTTCTGGTAGTTCTCGCGGAAGACTTCATCAATTGAATTAGTTGCATTGATACCATTCAGGATGGTTTTATCTGGGTGAAAGAGTAGAAGCAAAGAACAGAATTTGTGTTTATCTGGGGGTCAGTGATGGGATTTTCACGGTGCAGAATACAGAAAAGTGTTGATTTCTGTGTTATCTCTCAGAAAGTCTGAGGCTACTGTATTTCCAAGCACTTCAACAAGAAAATGCAGACCAAAGGCCAAGCTCAAATACGGAAGGCCCTGGTGTGATCGTTAAAGTAAGGTCAGCTCAGCGGTTGCAATGCATAAGACCCGACAGGTAGGTAGGGGTTTCAAACCGCCTGCTGACTTCAAACACCAGTCACCAACAGTCAGATCGTAACTCTGGTTGGTGCTGTATTAAACCAGTCAAATTCCATTGATAAATAAAAGCAGGTGACTGGTGGACTGAGCTGGCTTATCAATCATAGTCAAAGCACAGCTATATCCAGATGTATATATGTACCAACTATCGTAGCCAGTCACTTCTGCTTCATGTAGACAGGACATTCTGAAGTCTGAACTGTGAAGAAAAGTGACTTGACTGACTCTGACTGAGAGGACAACTTTGTCGAGAATAGATATTTACAAAGGATGATTGAAGAAAACTGATCAGACAATACCGGCCTGGTCAACTCCATGCTTCTGCTGAATGAACGCAACACTTGTTTTCCTTCCCTTAAAATATTGAAGCCTGGCAATCAAGCTCTGCGTGCGAGAAGTTCACACAAGACCTGCATGGCAAAGGAGCGTGTAGAAAGTCCCAGAGAACACATTACCTCCAACCCATATGTCGGTAGGGATTTGCACTGCACTGTGGTTGACATTAACTTGGGACTTGAACGTGTCCGAGTACGTCAGATTCAGTGGCATTTTGGATGCATTCTTAGCATTGTAGTAAAGTACATCATCTTCCTGTGGGAGTAGAAAGCAACAAAGAACAGTGAACAAACTTTAACGACAGTAAGCCCGAACGACTTCTCTTATTTTCTTAAATCAAATTTACCGACATGTCCAAAGTTTTTCTTATGTGTTATGTAGCACTTTACAGCAGGCTGTTCTTTGTGAAATTAAACATGTATAAAGACTCATACAGCCTATGACTACCAGAAAGACAATCTGAACTCTCCATTTGTCTTTTTTTGTTTTTTTGTTATTGTTTTTTTCGGCAAATTTGAGTAAAAAAGCTTCAACTTGGACATCCTGACTTTCACTTTGAAGGAAACCTACACACCTTGTTTTGAAACATTGACTTAAGCCTCACACATGAAAATTCATGTAGGCATTACAAGTTTACATGTACATGTGCCTCCTACATGTCCTAGAAATGAAATCACAACAGTTCATGTTGATTATCTGACCTTTTCCATTATTTAGATGTCCTCCAGAGAATTACGGTAAGCAGGACCAAAAGCTTGGCAATGGTACTAATAGTGAAGTTAAATGATTTGCCATGAGGCCTGCATTAGTGGTACTATTTATTCCCATCTTGCAGAATGGGTCATTCTATAAATTTGGGGTCCAAATGAATGTGTGATTTTCTACAATACGTCTCCTCCACCGTGTGCAAATATGATGTCATGGTCATCATTTTGATAAAGGTAAAATTTTTCACCCCTTAGGAGCAGAAGTTTCGGGGTATTTTTACCTGGATCTCGAGGTAAAATACACTCTTAAGCAAATAATAAAATTGAAATGTTTTATTCATTATCATTATATAATGAACCTTAACATACGCATACTGGTATACCAATTAAAGAATAACAAAAATAAAAACCCTTCCTTCTTTAAAACATAATACTAACAATAACAACTCTACAGCTGTGCTTACTGCTGAAACATTTTGCAAAGGAAAAACTGAGTGACGCTCGCCAATGGAAGAAACAAACAAACTTGTGGCTTCAAGAAGTGGAGAGGCTAAACATTCTACGCCAGCCTTTACTGTGATACTTACCTTAATGCTGGCATTGTATTTATGCTTCTTATAGGCCGTTTCCAATGCCACAACAATCCTCTGTTGATTGAAAATCACAAGCAAATGCTATGAAACAGCCATTCAAATCATGCCATATACATGCATGGCGGCCTTCCTCCATGATATTAGTTACTGCGAGATGAGACCAAGCTACCGTACAATCCTGGACAAATCTCGTTGGAACATGCCTCCCCCTTGCCGCCTGTCAGTGTTGTTTCTCATTGGGTAAGTTGGGCCCAATCTTGGCCCAATAAAATAATGACCGCAACACTGAACGGGGGAGAGGGGGATTTTTTCATCGCACTTCCCAACTTTCCAACTTTTTTGTCCAGGATTGTAGATTCTATAGGAACAGGTACAAAAAAAGGACAGATGAGAAAACGTCAGCTGGAAATTTTATAAGTTTCAGTATTTCTTTTCTTTCCTTCTGCAAAGTAGACATTGAGTAATGGTTACAGTTACTGTATGTAGAATCCCATTGTTGCATTAGACGTTACATCCAGCAATCCATACTAATCATGCGGCCTTTTCTGTTCACAACATACTGAGCACTGATCAGGCTGAAAATTGAATGAACCAGTTCGGTATTCCAACAGCACATGCCCAGTACAAGGCCATTTGGGAACAGCTATGCGCTCGCGATAGTCTGTCCTATCAGCGTAGCCATATGTTGACTTATACGCGCAATTTGGTCCCAAAATGGAAAGACCTTTGGCTTTTTGAAATACCAAACTGGCTCGCTGAACTGTAAGTCTAATTTCAGTATTTGAGTTTCGTAAAATACAGGTATGTATGTACGGTACATGTACATGCATGAAGGTGCACCTCTATCATTTCCTGTCAGTTTTTTGAATGTGTGTTTGGCATTTGCTTTACTCAGCTGCAGTGAACACAGAGGACAGTGTACAAAATTAAACAGCACTCTCCACCCATAGAGCAAGGACGGGTCTATGTATGGTCCATCAATTGCAGCCCCTTTTCAACATGGTTTCAATCCTACACATGTACAATAGATTTGCACACAGAAACAGAAGAAACAGTACAGGATGCACAAGGCAGACTCACATCAACGGCAACCATCTTGTCTTGTAGCAATTCCTGCCACTTGTTGGCTACTTTCAGGACCAGATCAGAGCCGTTCACATACACTGGGGGAAAGTTCAGCCCTTCATACAGCTAAATGGGAAAAGAAACAAAGACTTTTATGTTGCCCATTGGGGGTGCAGAGGGGAAGGGTGTTACATGTACATGTATGTCTCAGTATGCAAGTTGGTGTCCCGTCAGTAAACCTAAACTAAATCATTAAATGTACACATATACTGACGAGTACACCGGTGAACAGATTGTCTGTCAACTTTAACTCTCCTTTGGTTTTACAGCACAAATATAAACAAGTGCCCACAGTCACTCATCTGCATGTATTTTCTACATGGAACACAAGCATGCACAGGTTCAGTGTGTACACAGTAGGTTGCCAGCACAAACTGACACAGGGTCTTTTATGCAGTCCTCTTCACTGCATTTAGTTTACTGCACAGTTATGCACAT